TTCTTCGTATGACGTGCGAAATTTGCCAACTTGCACAGATTTCTTCATTTCCTATTGGTTAATGTGTGCATTGGCGTTTGGTGAAGAATAATTTTTTGATGCGAGGAACGGATAAGGAGGGATATGTTCGGTCTGGAAGAGACTGTTGAGGGTTGAAGTCTGTCTGGAGCGGACTCGTGTCCAGTTCGGGCTCCTATCCGATGAACATTACTCTGGAATGTGATGATGCTTTATGAAATGTCGTTTTGTTGCGTGGAGTGCGATTTGATGTTTGATTGTATATTAACGAGAGAATGCGACTCTTTTTGTGATAAGTTCATGACTCGAACTTAAGTTTATATTTGAAGTGATGAGACTTTCTTCATCATATATGAGCACTCATAATTGATTCATCGTGGAGTGTTCGATTGAGGCGAGATAAGTTGATTGTTGAAGGAAATGTGGATGTGGGAATGAATGAAAGATAAATATTGAAGGGTGATGAGTTCATCAGAGACAGGTACTGGTGATGGAGCGGTGCCGTGGCCGAACAAGAAGGATGACTACTCGTTGGACGACTCAATTGGTGTCGGAGCGACGGCTACCGTTTACAAGGTGCTTGATTCTGTCGCTTGAATCACTTCGATCTGATCGTATCTCATTCCAACTCAACAGCTTGTCTCTTTCAAAACGTTCACAATCGAAACTGTTCCAAAATTGAGAAAAACGTCAAGTTTTTGAGACTTTGATCTTTTTGAGAGGTTTTAAAGTGAGTTTTGGTGTGTGACATTTCAAGGTGAGATGAATATTTCAGGCACTGTGTATACCACGAAATGAGTATTGTGCAATCAAATGTATAAATCTCGAAAAGTGCCAGACATCAGTGGATGAACTCTCGCATGAAATACAGGTAGTTTCGTTACTAATTAAATTCATTAATGATACTAATGATAATGTCAGGCGATGTCATTATGTTCACATCCGAATGTGGTCAACTATTACACGTCGTTTGTGGTTGGTGAAGAGTTATGGGTAGTTATGCGATTGTTGAACTGTGGGAGTATGTTGGATATACTGAAACGTAGAATTAAGGTTTGCATTTGCTGATTCTTTGGGGAGTTTTGATGGTTAGATGGTTATTAACGGATGATGAGTATTTGCAGGAAATGGGCAAAGAGGCAGCAATGTCTGGTGTACTGGATGAAGTGATTATAGCAACAGTACTGAAGGAGGTATTGCGAGGGTTGGAGTATTTCCATAGTAGTGGTCAGATACATCGTGATATTAAGGTATTGATTAGTTTAGGGGTGTTGTTGATTGTAAAGGTAAGTAATAGTGATCGCTTGTTTAGGCTGGTAATATCCTGTTAGCAGATGACGGTACTGTACAAATCGCTGATTTTGGTGTTTCTGGATGGTTGGCCGCAAGTGGAGGCGATTTGTCACGTCAGGTTAGGGAAATAGTTTANGAATGCAATAGAATTTTCGAGTTATTTTGAAGTATTGAATTGTGCAGAAAGTACGTCACACATTTGTGGGCACACCATGTTGGATGGCACCAGAAGTGATGGAGCAGGTGTCGGGCTATGATTTCAAAGCGGATATCTGGAGTTTCGGCATTCTGGCTATTGAACTGGCCACCGGTACGGCTCCGTACCATCGATTCCCGCCGATGAAGGTATTGTCGACAATTGATCAATGAATCACAATTTCCTTCCTCTTAATGTCGCCGAGAGAATAATGATTGAGCAAGTCTAGGTACTTATGTTAACGCTACAAAATGAACCACCGAATTTGGATACGAACGCAGAACGAAAAGATCAGTACAAAGCATATGGTAAAAGCTTTAGGCATGTCATCAAGGATTGCCTTCAGGTATTTATTTGAGAATTTCGTTTTGTATTTCCAACGTTTCTGTCTACTGTGAAATCGGTAGTTTTCACTAAAGTGCATGGTCTGAATGATATTGGTTATTGGCCTAGTTGACAGTGCTTTGTTTAATTGAAACTTGAAGATATGTTAGTGATGATCCTTAACCAACGAGCGATTTTGATAAAGAAGAGAGTGAGAATGTTTCAGAAAGATCCATCGAAACGACCAACTGCTACCGAACTCTTGAAGTATTCATTCTTCAAGAAAGCTAAAGACAAGAAGTATTTAGTGCATTCACTAATCGACAATCTCGCTTCGTTACCCTTGCCATCATCACATCATCAACACGATGCTCCCAAGAAGGTTGCTCTTCTATCATTCATTTACTCAGTGCTCAGTTGTGATCCATTTTGTTTAGGTAGCGTCAGGAAAACTGAAGAAAGACAAAGACGGAAATTGGGAATTCGAACCGGAAGATGCGGGAGACGAGAGTGATTCGGATTCAGATGAACCAGACAAAGTGGCAGCCGCACCGCCACCTCCAGGCGGCACCGCTTCAGATGCTACCCTTAATCTGGTTGGTTTTCGTTTAANCTTCTTTTCACTTGATTTTCATACGATATGAATTTGAGGTGTTACGAGTTCGAAACGCGGCCAGGGAGTTGAACGATATCAAATTTGACTACACGGCTTCAGTGGATACGGTTGAGGGTATAGCACATGAGTTGGTGACAGCCGAACTGATCGACGGACACGACTTGGTGGTGGTGGCGGCGAATCTGCAGAAACTGATCGATTTGGCGTTGCAGAAGAGCGATCGCAAGTCGGTGACGTTTGCCCTCAACTCGGGTGTTCTACCCAACGAGGTACCCGATGAACGTGCGCTCATCGGTTTCGCACAAATTTCGCTTCTCGACTAAACTCAACTTCTTTATTTCTTCCTTCTAAAAGCACCAAAATGTCGCCGAATATATGTGTGTATATATATGCGGCATCTTACCCACCAATATTATGTATTTGCTTAGGTATGCATGCCTTCTGTTTCTTATTCTTGTAGCAGTCTGAACGTGCGTGCTACTACTCATTTATGCTGTTCTTGTTGAATATACAAACTACAGCTCCAATTGCAGTTCAGGGTGCGACATAGCACTCTGAAAGTCCAAAGGTTCACCGTTAACCTCTGCTTACTAAAAGCTTAACAGCGATAATGATGAATAAATCGCAATTGAAGCTGAATGTTTGGACCTTTGCATTCTCTGTCCTTTGCGTGTTTTCTTGTATGGTATTTTTCGTTTCGTTGGTAGATTGCTCGCTGGAACATTTTGACATGGATGGATTGCAGTATCACCGCTAACTTCTGTGTGAATTAATCATCTATCTTTGTGTTCCGCAGCTCTTCTTTCCCAGTAACAGTCTTATCTTTAATTTCTCCATCTATCACTTGCATACGAACCATATTCAATGCCATTTTTCTGATGTTTTGCTTTTTTTTTCCTATCCTAACATTCATAATAATAATAATGGTGAATGCAAAAATGATCAGTTTCTTTTTGTACTATTTGCTGAAATTGGTAACTTTGGTCATTAATTGGAATCTGTTTTCATCGTGTGTCTATTATCTACAAACAATTATTTAGATATGTGTACAATCGATCTATGTCATATTCGGTTTAGCTGTTGTTAATTTGATTAAATTTTTCAATGAAACTTCTTTTTGCTTGGGAAATTTTTGAATTTTTCCATCCAATTATGATTTGATTGTTGATTGAATGCGATATTTCTTTAGGCGTTTATTGAATACAAGTTTGACTGTGTGCTAAAAGATTTTTTGCTAGGTAATAATATAGATTTGTGTTCGTTTATATGAACCAGTTGGTTTTGTGCTTGCTCGAGATGGTGCGAGAAGTCAGGTAGCATTGGAGTGCGCGTTCATTCTGAAAACGTTTATCGGGGATTGTTGAAGAAGTTAAGCAGTGAAAGTCGAATGTCGTGATGTTCCATTCATAATTTGTCGAGGAATGCAGAGAAAACTGACTTCTTCTTTGCATTGTACTTATCTTATTGCACCGCATCAATGAAGAATGTATTCGATTGATCTTGCGCTATAAACGACTTCAATCTTGAAAACATTCACTATTTTTCGCATATCCAGAAACTTCAAAATCCCATTTTTATTCGTTCATCTGCTAAGTTTTGTCATATTACTGTTCTATTCGAATTTTTGTATGCAGAGGAAATTTTTTCGTATTTTCAATTTTTATATCGTTCGTTTGTTGTTTTGTTTCCGCTTCTGAATGACTTTATTCAACTTTTTATTGCTGATTTGGATATATTAACTTTTGTGTATTTATTTTTTATATAAGGCATTTTTTGATATGTGATTTTTATATTGTCACCTATCCAATTTCATATATTTGTTCGTTTTTCTCCTTTGAAAAACAAAACATGAACTGTTTAACATTTCTTGTTCTCGTTTTCAAATGTTTATGCCTTTTCAACGCGAAATTTACGAAATATAGGTTGATTTTGAGCATTGAAAAGGGTTTTTTCTTTCGGAATCCGAAGCTTTTTGTCGTGAATTCGTTTTGATTTTGAATGATTAATCGTCTCGTTNCTGTTGCATTTTTGCCATTAAGGCGAAATCGAAAATCTGCCGCATATGTCGATCACTGGTAAATCTATCAGCTATGTTTTGTTGTCCTGGATCTGGGCTACAAAAAATGGTATACGAATTGCCCGGATTTATTCCTGTTGAGTAGGTAAGAAATTCACATTTCTGTGCATATATCAAGTGAAAATCCCACTCCCGTCACTTGGCGAACTGTCAGTCCGTTCGTACTTGGCGAAGTGTTTGTACACCTTTCCTTTTTCTTAATTTTTATGATATTTCGTCATTTAAGACGTGGTTGGAGAGGGGAATTTTATGCTATTCGTACTGACAAAGCCTGAATCTGTCTTTTCATCTGTTATTGTTTCGTGAATTTCTGTATTTTAAAGGAGATATTCACGTTTCGGATAATCTCACAGTCAGTAACAAATTCTCCGTTTCTTCGTGCAATGTTCAAGAATGAATCAGTGATTTCACGAGTGATGGTTTCTTGTGATTTCAATTCCTGGAATTGATGACTTTGTAGGCGTACCCCTAATATTTCAAATTTCTGCTCAAATCGGAATCGAAATTAGGTTTCTCAGTTTTCGAGCACATACAAACTCGAAATCTCTCGAGATTTACTCAAGAAGTTCAAACTTCCGAATTCAGGCAAAAAAATTGACGCAACCTTTGTCTGTCAACCTCCAACTCCTCAATCTAAAATAGTATTTTCAGAGTCCCAATCAATTTTTTATCGTGAGATAATCTTGAATTGATGACCAAATCGAAATTTTGACAGTGCTGAAGTCCCACATAGTACCATTAGGTGATCGTGATCGTTTAGCAGTATTATAATAGTTGTTATGTGGTCTTCTTTCGCCGAATTTGTGTCACCGTAATGATCATATCGTGTCATCGTTGAGGACTCAGTGATTAAGAAAATAAATGGTCTCCCCTTTTAGCGTTCATCGAGACTCATCCGTTCATTAATATTGCAAATTCGGACGTATTTGAAATCATCAAAAAATGCTGAAACTTTGCACAAACATTGCGTCTTCATCGAGTCGTCGGGTAAGATCTGCTTTTATCAAATTGGTTTTCAACATATTTTCAGTATGCTCAGAACCGTTCGTTGACGATATGTTTCGTTATTTTCTATACTCGCGTATCATTTTACCTGATGGTTCGAGATCATGAGTCGTTATTTAAATCAAAAGTGGCCAATTCATCATTAATTATTTGAATCGTAAAAGTTGAATAGTTGTGCTTCGATGAAGCGTTCACTGATTGAAGTTAAAGTTGTTTGGTTGCAGTTGATCGTACGAAGTTTGGCCAGTGCAGCGCAGGAAACACCGAAGACAGATGCACCAAAAGAGAGTGTATCTAAACAGCAACAACAACCTTCGAAAGATGATATCGATCAGCTGTTCTCAGCGTCTGATGACTCAAAAACTAGACGACGACATGCATTCAGGTTCTCGTTTAACACATTCATGAGGTGTGCAGTCGTGGTATTCCATATTGAAAGTCGTGATCAGGTGATGTCAGCTTTGTTATCGCAGAACGAGTTTTATTATAAACGTTGGAATGATTAATCCCTTCCTCTAGATTATTTATCGTGCGACGTTTCTCCAGCGCCATCAATTTTCAGTATCAATCGCGTGGAATTGATTGGCGGGGTGTCCGATGAACCGATTCAGCGTGTGGCGCGCAGTGGTTCTGATTATGTGACATTCAATATGATCACCAACATGGAATTCCGACGTCCAGGTACCTTTTATTCGTCAGAACATATTATCTTCACAAAGAGTGTGAAAGTTATCAACATCCGTTCAGTTTTTACAAAATAAATCCTTCATTGAAAAGTGATATTTCGGTGTGAAAATTTAGATGGCGAACGAAATGATCAGTCGGAAATGCATTCCATATCCGTATTCGGCCGAGCAGCTGAATTCGTTATGCGGAATGTTCAAAAAGGTTTAGCTGTTGTTATTTCTTTTCTCATTCTCGAATAATTTGACTTAGCTCGATGTATATCATCTTAAATTTGCAAATGGACACTTGCCTATTCATTTATTAACAGATTCGCCGAATGAACGCTATCCTCCAGTCGTGTTATAATTATGTTGGACGACAAGATGCAAGGTGAACCGAACTAGCTACGGAGAGTTGCACGATAAAATGGCTGATGAAGTTCTGAATTCACTGATGAATTTGTTTAGTAACTTTGCTCGTAATTCAGGAACACGTGTATTCGTCAGTGGACGTTTGCATTATCAACCGATGACACGCGAAGATGGCACTCGAATGGGACGTATGGCAACTATCAACGCCGAGACCGTTCAGCCACTCGCCAAGTTACGTATGAGGAATGCAGATGACTCGGAGATGGCTGATACACACTAATTTCGTGTGTTCGATAGAGTGTGTTGTTTGTGTGAACGAATTTATTCGATTATCATTTTAGTAAATTCATTAACTTAGAAGATTAGAGTGACGTTTCATTTCAGTGATTCAAATTAGTTTCTCATCCTTACGATTAGTGTTGTTGATCGTAAAGTTGACATTGATTTTTGTCCTACATCTTAGGAGCATCTCAAACTTACTAGTGATTTCCATGTTTAAATTATTGCTGCTTTTACTCAGATGTTACTCTGTTGCTCCAGTGCGTGATGATTGAGCCAATTTTTAGTTGTTTAAATGATTAAGATGAGATGATTAAGTCGTTAGAGGATTGAGTAATTTTGTGATTCCTGTTGCTATAAACACGTCTCTTGCAAAATGAATTTGTTTTCGTATGCACTAGTGGAAGTAACTGTGAGAGACCCAAGTTCCTGGGTTCTTCATGTGATTGTTATCGAAAACTTTTTGCTCATTCAATTGAAGATGATGTTTGGCTTCTGAAGGAGTGTTAAGTGAACGACGTGATGCTTGCTTATTGAAGTCCTTCTGTTCAGTGTCCTGTTATTCGGAAAAGCAAACCTGTTAATTATGTGTTAATCTCTCCTCAGAATCGTTTTCTAAACGAATGTTTCTAATGGTTCAAGAAAACTCAGTGGTCTCGTCGCTGTTTAGTTGGCATTTTCCTGTTATTCGTTATTATTACTTGTTTTCTGACAGTAAAAATGCACCGAAATTGTTATTTTGTTATTCTCTACGTACATAAGCTAGAAATGTGTTTGATTGAATGTTGTTGTTTGCATGAATAAATTTTGTTACACAATTATGCAGTTTTTCCACGTTTGAATTCCCTATTAAATTGTGTACAAGTTTCACATTTAGTGATATTTCATTATCATTTGGTTCTTTTTTCATTGATTTTTTTTGAGAAATGCATCGAGAAGGAAATTCGTTGATTGTGATCACATTTGAGTGATTCGATTTTTTGTGTCTGTCGTTTGTGAACTCATCATACTCCATTTTATTTTGCATAAGACTCCTTTTTCTGAAGGTTTCTGCTTTCGTTATATTTTGTTTCGCAGATCGTTGATTGAACAAATAGCGAGTTCAACGAAAAGAAGTTTCGGTGAAACGAGCGTATTGTTTGTTGAGCAGGGAACGGGTTTGGCGATGCTGCATTTTTGATTAATATAGTGGTGGATTGAGATGTTTTGATGAATGATCATGCAGGTGAGACATGTACAGTAGTTGTGTGTGAGTGTGTCTATATATTAGTTCAGCAACGTGCAGTCAGACAAAACAAAACAAGACCTTTGTTTATTTGCATCAGCTTTCGATTTTGTTTATTCTTGCTCAGTCGATTGTCATTTGATACTATAATAGAAATGTACGTTCATCGACTGACTCACTGCCGTGCGAATTTTCTAGTGAATGAGTTACATTTCTAATGAATGAGTCGAGTTGGATTTTTTAATGAATGAGTTGGTTTCATTGCAAGTGTGTGACTGCTTTTCGAACAGTCGTTATTGATGCCGATTATCTTCTCGATAAGTTTTGTTTATCTTTGTGGTGCACCCATTATTAGTCGTGTGTATTTTATGAAACATTATCGTTAGGCTTCGAGTGCTTTATGCGTCGTCACTCAACTGCTCGACTATCGATTGTATTGTTCGATGTTGACATTCCACATAGCATCAGTCAGACTTCTGGTGTTCGTTTCACTTTGTCAAACGCTTAGAAATTTGAGTTCAAATCTGCTCATTTTGCCGTTATGTTCGCATTACATCAATTGTTCAGTGAATCTCAAACGGCGGCAGCATTAGTTTTTTATTATGTCCAAGGTAACCATTCATTTGCAGAAGCAGTCTGGTCATTGCAATGAACCATCTACCCTTTTTATCCTGCTCGACATGCAATAACTTGTCGTTTGTGCGTTCTCAAGCGTCATTTTCAAGGTGGGTTTTGTGGATTCGTTGGCTGAAGTGGTATTTCCGCAGTTCTATAAGATAGAGCCATTAACGCACTGACAATGATGTTTGCAAATTAAGTTTTGAAACTTTCAGATTATATGGATACAGCTCAGTTGCAAACGCTCGTTACTATTCTCAGAAACCAGCTTCAGGAGACGATTCTGTTAAAGGGACGTCTGTGAAATCCTCGGTATCTGCTGATCAAAAGAAGGAAACTAGCAGTGAGAGCGGAGCAGTCGAAAATAAAAAGAAAACAGACGGATCGAAAGATGTCAGGAAGCAAGGATTACTTTCGAGAATATTGATTGGTTCAAAGGGTGTTTCACCGCGTTATTTACAAAGTCATTCGTCGATTCTGTCGGATTCGGGATATATTTACGAACTTGTGAGTAAGTCGTTGATGCAGTCGTTGTTTGTTATTCCTGAATCACAACTGAAAGGATGTTTTGTGTTTTATATTATTTCAGTTAGTTGTGTTTTGAGTTGAATGACCTTTCCAATGATTCAAAGTGAAAAATTCTCTTCTTTTCAGCGCACGACGCAATACCAGGTGAACGGGAAAATTATTTGAAATTGTATAAGAATTATGCGAATGAACTGCATGAAGTGAACGCTGATTACAGTCTGCTTGGCAGTTGGAGAGTTTATTATCCGAACCGAGATCAGTCGGTACATTTGTGGCGATACAATAACGGATACGAAAGTATCGATCGGTAATTGCTTCACTTCCATCTAATTTATTTGTCTATAAGTAACGACTGATGTGACGTTATAGTTTTGGAATTTTCAAGAAAGAAGGACGTGAAAATGTACAATTTTGTCTTGAATTTTTATCGTTCCCAATTAAAACTGTTTCTTATTTTTAATAATGTGATTGAATTTTGGGATCAGAGAAGAAATACATCGATTTGCAGAAATGTTTCAATGCCAGTCAACTTTGTACAATTGTTCTTTTTTTTTCACTTTGTGATTGACTGATTGTTATATGCATATCATATGATGTGCATTTGAGATTGAGTTATTCAGTAGCAAACTGATGTTACTGCTAATGTGGTTATAAATTTGATTGCAGCACGATGAATGCTTTGCTGACGATGGATAGTTTGAAAAAGGTTGAAAGTGAAATGGGACGTTTGCTGTTGCATCGCGATAATGTACTCGCGAAGTCGTTCAGTTACTGGGGTGAGCCCGAACCCAGACCTGCATCAAATATTTATGAACTGCGAGCGTACACACTTCGAGTAAGCAAATCATTGTTGGTGATTATTTAGAGATCGAACACTTACACTGCCCATCTCTCCCATCTTTGAAATGTCTCTCTTGGAGAATTGCCTCACCGAAAAAATATGAAATATTTCAGTTTCAGGTTTCTTCTTTAAAGAGTGTATAAATCCTTTTGTTGATCAAGAAAAATCAAATTGATTAGTTCTTGGTAATCGCATTTTTTTCAAACATTAACATTAAAATAACACGTTTGAATATGAATAGAAGGAGTGAGTTTTAACTAGCATTGTATTTTTCTATTGTGAGAACTGAGAACACACGCAATGGTTGTCGTCATGACTATTGTTTTTCTTTGAAGCCAGGGACATTGATTGAGTGGGGTGCTGCATGGGCGAAAGGTATTGAATATCGCCGCGAAGCGAATCAGGACGTTGGAGGATTCTTCACGCAGGTTCGTCAACTTTTTTAACTGATGATCTGATTGATTGATGCAAATTTTATCAGTGACGAATCGTTATCGTTAACAAGCAAACGATATTTGCGTTTTCTTTGACGACTAATTTGGTATTGTATGATGTTAAGGTGATGAATGCTGAACGTTTGTTTTCAGATGGGACCTTTACATAGGGTTTATCATTTATGGGCATATGACAGTTTAGCGGGGCGGAATGATACCCGTCAAAAGTCGTGGGCTAAACCTGGATGGGATGAAACGGTCGCTCATACAGGTTTGATTCTATTCATTCACCACTTTTCTGAAGGCTGCTAACAATTACATCTTATTTTACTTAGAAATTGTTAGGGTCTTTTGGGGTGTAACAGGATTTGACTTGTGCGATATTGGAAATAGCATCTACGATGTTGGAAAAAATAAACGTAGCATACCGATACTTATTGTTGTAAGTCATAAGAGTATCGTTCCAGGTGAAAAGAATCAATATTTAACATTAAGAGGTGGCACGATTTGGATGTTATATATATATATATATATATATATATATATATA